CCATGAGGTTGTCGGAAATAGGAATATTTCGTCATATCGATGAACTGATATCAAAATAAACTTATTTTGCAGAAAAAATAAATTTGAAAGAAAACTAATATACTCTGTAGCAACATGTTGCAAGAGTATAAACAGCAGAAAATCAGTATTTTGAATATACTTTAAAGTTGATTTCGTACAACGAGATAGTCTTTCTCAACTCTCTTTTATTCCATTCCACTTTTCCATTAAATTCTTTTTTCGGGCAAAACTTTCACATATTAAGTTGTTTCCTTGACGACGGCATCTTGAAACACTGGTTTACAGTGGTTTTGTTACCCTAGATATACAATAATATCGATTTTAAATATATATGTGAGAACATTTTACGAAACTATCAAGGGTTTTGTAAGATTTGCTTTCGTTCATTTTTAAATCTATAATTTCATTTTACTTTACAAAAATCAGAAAACATAAAACAAAATTAAAGATATAAATATAATTTCAGTTTTATTTTGAAAAAATAAGGATACATCGAAGTAAACAGAGATAAGTGTCGAAAATGTATGTTATATCTCAATTAAACGCCTTTTATGAGTTTTATCCAGACGATTGCGGAGATAGTTTAACTTGTTATTAAATTTGCTCCTAGAGTCTGTATCGTCAGCATATTTTGCACAGTTTTTTCATTATATTGCTACTTAATGGTAACCTAGAAAATCTTCAAATACCATCTCAAATCTTTAACACGATTTACTTTTCAGAACAGTCATAACTTTAATAAAATCTGTGTCTTTCAGTGATTGCTGCATAAAATATTCTACCTTTCAGCTTTTCCATACTAATACTGGAAATTTTCTACAAATACAATAACATTAAAACTATATCTTTCCACGTACAGCGCTTTGACAAATTGTTTTATCATTCCTCAACATAGTAGATCGCGTATTAAATCGATGAGTTCATTTTTAGAAAGTAACTTTGGCGTAAATGTTTTACCTTTCCTTTCACTTGCACTGGCAGACTGTAACGATTTCTGTGAACTTGGCAAAGCATGCGAATTACTTTTGCAACAAAAGGGATGTTTTCTATAAGTAAAACAGGACTTAGACTATAAGTCTAGATATCTCCACGTATGATTTTAATAAACCTAAAAGCTTTTCGTATAATTTTTCGCTTATTTTTGATAAGGAGACCGAGAGTGGAGATCACGTGAAGTTTGTAAGCGCGAAAATGGGGCACAAAACAGAAGAATCATGGCTGGAAAACTAAATGTTTATTAATAACAAGCCAATAATTATCAAAATATTATTCTAAAAATAAGAGCACATTCAATATTTTCATAAATAAGGTCGTGGTCTAGACATCTGAAAGCATCAAAATTTGCTAAGATATTCAAACACAAAAAAGTTTTGACTAGTCTTTCAATCATGACCCGGTTCATCTATTGTAATAACAATTTTATTTAAATGTGGAATTGAGATAATTTTAAGCAGAAAAATTTTCTTAATACTAAATACATGCCTTTGAGGAAGACCACTTTTAATTTACCGTTATTTAGAAGGGTTCGTGATTGGTAATTTTAACTTTTCCTTTATGGATTCATATTTTCTTCGTAATATGCCATACATTTAACATAATAATGTTGAATAATCCTGCTTTCTATCATAAGCTCATAATTACATAATTCAACGTGAAATGACAAACGTTCGATTTCATTTCGTTGTGTTTTGGTAAATAATTATATAATAGTATTTTGATTTGTTGCCGTAATCGTTTGCTACAATGGTTTTAGACTAGCTGTCCTGTAATTTATTGATAGTTACATACACTTTACTAAAGAATATTAATTTTACAGGCTTTTACCATATGTGTAATGGTAATATTGTTATTCAAGTAACAGGCCATTCATATTTTATGGTGCCTGTGTGATTAGGTTTTGATAAACTCATTTGGAAACTTTGGGAATTTCCAGGTGCCTCAAATAAGTTAATTCATTTGATTATTTTAAGTAGTCGAAAGGAGGGAGGACGTGGGAGAGAAAGAGAGAGAGAGATAAAGAGGAAAATAGAGAGAAATATATTTAAATAGTGAGAATGAGAAATATATTAGGAAATAGTGAGTGATGATATGTTATGAAAGGTTTTGAAGTCTCTGTACACTTTGACTCTCTAGAATAGTTGTAATGAATTCATATTTATTGACGAGTGAATTAAATATTCACCTTGATTACTTTAACTTTTTTAGGTGATTTCCCTAGCAGAATAATCAAATTAATATATTGAATCGAACTTTATCGAATTATGTATTATTACAATTTTGTGTATTTATGTATTATTACCTACAGTACCTTCCATACCTTGGCTTCCAACCAGGCATCAATTGACATTTTTTGTGTGGTAACATAAAAGTAATATCTAATAAAAAAAAATTGAATTAAATTAGTTTGCTTTATTTGTAAGTATAGTCGCTACAACGTTAGGAGTGAAGTCTACTATTTAAAAGCAAATACTCTACTCATTCGATTCCCTAATGTCATTAATAGCTTATCTTCAGCCATATTTTTAATATGATCTCATTAATTTGCTTCTGGATATATAATATATATTCATATATAAATACTTATATATACCTATATACTATTCCTATATATTCACATATTTATATAGTATATGAATTTACAAAATACAAGTATGTACGTTGTAATCAAAACAATTATTTGTTGGATGACATGTCGAGAGAGATGAGTAAGGTATTGACAATTGGAATTAGAGCTTTGTGAGCATTCGTGCATTTATTTACTTTTTAGGGTGGTTCTAGAAAGTAAAAAAGGGTTTCGTTCAGTTCTACCTCTCAATCGGTATGACATGCTAGGCTATCAGATTCGTTTAACTTTTCACAAGGGGAATGTACTCGTATAATATTTATTTCTATACGATTAGAACGGTTGTTTGTATCCCCTTAAACTAATTGAGATATACCAGTATATATAAAGGATTATATACCCGTATACATAATGGATCATGAGGTGGTACAGCTTGGTACACGTATTCCCTGGCAAAAAAGCGAGGACGAATTCGTAGACGCGCGTAATCGGACCTTTGTCACGCTTATGAGACGTCATTTATCGTAAACCCATAAATTTCCATTACTAAGACGCAAATTAAGATACAAAACTATAATAACAATAACTATTCAAGTCCTCAGATACCGAAAATGTGGACTTTGTGCCGTAAATATCGGTCAATGTGTGAGATATCACATTGAAAATCGGGGAAAATGCATTTTTTATATTAATACCCTTTGTCAAAAATGGGTTGTATCGGTTAAATATTTCCCTTAGCGTCCATATACCTAATATAACGGTTTTCGAACTTTCAGTTCACTTTATACCACATATATCAGCCAATGTTTTAGTTACTAAAATGAAATTAAGAAAGCGTGTTTTTCGAATGATAGTGCCTCTTTGTGCCTAAAATAGATAAAATCGGGCTAAAACTTGCTTTAGCCCCCATATAACCGATATTCACGATTTTGAAACATCCGACTAACTTTACTCCATATATATGTTTATATTATATTTATATATTTATAAAATTGCTTGACAAAAAGTTCTCAAATATACCTGAGCAATTTTAAAACTTATTGCAAACAGCCCTTCGCGTTCTCTGCCTCCAATGATTTTAGTATAGGTTTCACTGACGAGAAGTAAAATATAGTATTACAACTTAAGGATACCTGAAGGTATTCTCAGGCTTTGGTCCTTGCAAGTTAAAAGAGTATGAAATGTTCCCGAATTCCTTACTTGTTTACTTTGGTACTATTCTATAAAATGATATGGTTTAAAAAGTAATAAATTTAAATTTTATATTAGCCTTTTTACCACCAAAAAGCGATTTTGCGAAACTGCTGTTTTCTAGTATAGAAATTGCATAATCAAAGAGTTTTCCAGATTTCAACTAGCCACTTTTTTCAGGTTTGTTTATTTATATGCCAGTGACATTTGTAATAATCACAAGGGTTGAAATCGTGAAGACGAGGACTCTCTACTTCAAGAACGTGTAACATTTATTTATTTATTTCATTGAATTCATTTCAACTATTCTAGAAATATGATTAAAAAATGGCAAAAGAGACGTTGGAATTAGAACCTCTTTACTAGAATACCTCCTTAGGGATATCAATTCCAATGCCGACAAATGTACTCTGTTAAAAATTTAGCAAAACCCTGTGATTGTGATCTTCAATTAGGTGTTATCAATTTAGGTATTATTTGAAAATGTTTGGGGTTTCCTAAGTCAAGCAGAAGTTTGCTTTCTAAGCGTTGCTCTTGAACTACCTTTTTCGATTTTTGTATTGTCTATTAAAGGCTTAAGGTTTCGAAAAATTATACAACTTTAAGAACTTCTCTAATGTACTTAGATGATATATATTGATTATGCATGTATGTGCTAATGTGATGCCGTTAACAATTCAAAAGCTGATTAAAATGTCGACGCTATACTTTGTTATGCGATTATGGCTGATTGCGCAACCATTTGCATGCTGGGGTGTGTGTGTTCGTGTGCGTATATGTGAGGGATTTAATATGGTGTAGTAAATATTTACGAAACTGTTTCAATACTAACGAGATGATATTTAACGAGATGCCACAATAAATTTACGCCTGACATGCAAATGCAAGCAAATAAAATAATGTGAAAAGGACGAAGGATAACGAAAATATATGTTGACAGTAGGGTCGGGACTCAGTGGTATATATTTAGATGTGTGTTTGCAAGAGTACTGTGGTGATCAAGTAGTAAAAAGAGTGTAGAATATATATTTGCAAAAGGTTTATAAGTCACACAGCCAAAGATAAATGCTGTATGTAGTATACAATTCTTGTGGCAGTCTTTATTTATGTGCTTTGTTTGTTTGCCTTTATACGGCCATTCATGCCACATAATTTAATTCGTGTAGCCCACGCAGCTCAGCTGAATGTAACCGCGCCGCTGACTGACTACTTTTCACTGTCATTGTTTCTTTCTTTGCCGCAGATACGCTCCACATCAAGTACCCGCATGGACCGTCCGCAGCGGATATAAATCGTCTTCTCAATGCGACATCAACAACAACACTGGACATGACGGTTGGCAGCAAAGGTGCGCTCGCCGGTGTCGGTGGTGGCAAGTGGCGCACCGAAGTACAGATCACTGAAGGTCAGCTGGGCGGTGGTGGCGTCGGTGGACGCTCCGGTGAATACCAACCTGACCTGCTGCCTGCATACAGCACCCACAAAGCCGTCAACAATAGTTGTAGTAACAGTAACATTAACGGTCATGCCAACAGTGCGGTCAGCAATCAGCAGCAAGGACAGCTTTATAGTCCGATAAAAGCAACGAGGACAATAAATATGCACGATGACCAGCAAATTGCACAGCAGCAACACCAACAACAGCAGCAGCATGCAATGCAACAACAACCCATTGTGGCCAAGAGTAAATATAATATCAATGCGCAAGAGTATTTGCAGTCCAGGTATGGTGCCGCCAGCAAGAATCACGAGAAGACATTGCGCCGCGGTGACGTGATTGCGGTAGCTACGACCAGCATCGCCCTCACCACGACCGGTTCAATGCCAACGACGACGGTTAGTGCGTCCAGTGGTATGGCGCCGCAAACGGAAAGTGGCTTCTCGACGCTTCAACGACACAGTAAATCAGTTGCGCTGCCGCCGCGCACACCCACCGATACACATGCTGTGACAGCGGCAGCGTCGAGCAGCAGTAACAGTTATGGCTACGAGTATCGTCAACCACCGCCGCCACCCTATAATTCTGCGCATCGCACTGCGAGCGGCTTACAACTGTTACAGCGCCGCACCAGCATCAACAGCGAGCAGAATAACGAACAAACGAGCGCCATGAAGGACCTTGGCTATCGGGAGACAATAAGCGGCAGTAATTATGGTGTTGGTACGGGGGATGGCGCACGTCAGACGATTGTGACAGCATCCTCATCGCTGCAATTTCTCACAACCACTGGCTACGGAGGTAATGCGGCGCCCCAACGCCAACTGCTTTGATTGTCGACGCAGGCTGGTATGCTGAGGTAGAATATCGGGCGGTTGCTTTAAGCGACCCGCACAGTTTTGGTGATTTTTGTATAGGCGGTTGCGGACTGGAGTACGGCATGGTAAGTGAAACTTTATAATTAATCTATAGAGAAGAGGTTAGTATGTAAGTCTAAAAAACAATTGTTTTTGACCTTGCAAAGAGATACTGGAAAACTTGTATTAAAAATATTAGCGTATAGAATAATTTGCGATCAGCAATACTACATCGATAAGCAAGGAGATCGAATACTTGGAATTTTTTCGAGTAGATATCCATTAATCACTATATATCTACTCTAACCTCGCTAAGAAAGAAAGTTTTATACTAATTTAGCTGATCTTAAAATTTAGTAAAATTTTTTTAATTTTAATATTAATTTTTTTAATTTTATTAAAGGAAATACAATTATAAATAATTATATTACCTATAAAATATAACAGCACTAGCGACAAGGTCTTCAGCTGTGGGCTTAATTTTACTTGTACTTTTTTGTATGAGATTTTACTTATGAATATGTATGTACAAGTATATACTAGTACTTATGGTTATACTTAAATACTAATGTCTATTCTTATGCTTAGAATTAAGGGGTAGCAATATTTGTTAGTATAGGAAAATTTTGGAAAATTTTAATATGGTGGTTTTAGATGAGATGCTTTAGTTGGGTTTTGGAGATGAAGTTGTAAATTTCTTTTATGTTGGCAGTTGACGGTTCTTTGGGGAGTTTCGAAAGAGAGGACTCGACATAGTCTCGTCTTATATGACGAAAGGTAGGACATATGTTCAGTATGTGTTCTACAGAATTTGTTGGACTGTTGCATAGCCGGCAGCCAGGCGTTATGTTGCGGTATAGAATATGTTAGTGCGTTAAAATGGTGTGTCCTAAACGGAGTCGTGTAAAAATTTTGATCTCCGAGATGCTGCATGTAGAGGGGTATACTGCTTTTCTTTGTTCGGGATTAACGAGCCGGTAACGATTGTCGTAACTATACCAGTCCGCTTTAGCTTTAGCTTTGAGAAATTTTAAAAAAATCGCACAATGTCTTTGCTTTCATTAGTTCTCACGTAAATACATGGACTAAGAGTGGCGTATTTTGCTTCTTTATGAGAAACAACGTTGCCTGGAATGCCACAGTGTCCTGGAATCCACATTACTTTAATTTTATTTCGGCTATCAATCAATTTGTCCCGAATTTCACTGAGTAGAGGGCTGCTGTTGGATGTACTTCGAATAGCTGTGACTGTTGCAAGGCTGTCGGTACAGATAACATATTTACCTTTGGAAGACGTGATCCATTGGATAGCTTCTTTTACTGTGTATGCTTCTGCGCCAAAAACAGAAGATGGTGATAAAAGTAATACATTTTTAATGATTTTCGAGTTCTCGGAAACCACTACCTATGCGGTGTTGTGGGGATTTGTTGACCCATCGGTGTAAATGAATTTCCATCCTTCTGAATAGAGATCTGTCTTGCGCTGCATAACCTCTTGTTTATACACCTCGTAGTTAGTGGAGGCTTTGTTCCAGGTCATCAGTTTGTCTTCTATAACAGAAGAGTCTAGAGCCCATGGAGGATTTTTGCTAATCTTCGAATGTTTGGGTGAAAGGTGAATATCAAGTTCATCAACGTACTTTAGAATTAGGTGTATTGTTGATGGGAACTTGGATGTTCGTTTTTTACTGGTGGCCGAACGTATGTCGTTGAGCAAATTCGGGTTAGAGCCTAGATATACCTTTGGTATCAGTCGTAATGTGTTAATATCCAATCTTTCGTTAATGTGTGGCATTCCGGATTCAGCGAGAATGCTTTATGTGATATCCGTATGTTGGTAGTCCATACTTGATAATTGAGAGTACTAAAGATCTTGAGTTGTTTTGAAAATATCAGAATGTCGTCTGCATACTTACAGTAGTAGACTGGGAAATCGGATATTATCTCGCTGATCTCATTAAATACAATTATAAATATGACCACAGACAAAGGGGAACCTTAAGGAATTCCATTTTCTAAAGGCAAACAGTGAGAAAAATTATTGTGAACTTTAACCCGAAATCTTCGATTTGTTAAAAAATATTTGAGTAGGTTGCAACATTTAGATCCCAATTTCCATTTTGCTAATTGTTCTAGAACTTTATGAAGTCCGATACGATCATACACTTTTTCAAACTCTACGCTAAGGCAGATAATGTGCCCCTTGTTCGAGATAATTTTGGAAGAATGGTGCTCGAAGTGTAAAAGGGCATCCATTGTACCTTGATTCTTTCTGAATGCGACTTGGTTGTGACTGATTAGTCTACTCTTCTCTGCGTACCACATTAAACGTTTAGAGATTATTTTCTCCAAAACTTTTCCTAAACAAGAAAGCAGCGAAATTGGCCTATAGCTTGTAAGTTCTGATGAAGATTTTCCAAGTTTCGGTATTGGGACGATTTCAGCGATTTTCCAACTTTAAGGGTATATACCGTTTGAAAGTATTTTATTGTAAAGATTAACTATTTTTTTTCTCAACGTCATGTGGGATGTGTCTTAACATGTCATAGGTAATCCTGTCGACACCAGGTGTTTTACCTCTGGAGTTTGATAGTGCGACGTCAAACTCATCAGTGGAAATATTAGATTCTAAACTTAGCGCTGGATTGCTAAGATTTCCGCTAGGTAAAAGTTTATGGCCTAAATATTTTTGTTTTTCAGTTTGAACTGTTTTGTGAAAGTAGTCACTCTAGGAGTCACTAGGAGCTCCAGAACGTAGCGAACACGTTCGCTATAATATTTGGGTCATTAGTTAATCCAGATTGGGTGTTTAAGTAAGTGATTGTAATAGATTTTTTCATGCCAGACAAGCGTCTTATGTTACGCCAAATATATTGAGGAAAGGTTTTGGAGTTAATATTTTCAATAAATTCTTCCAGACATATTTTCTTAGCCGTTTTGGTTTGTCGTTTAAGGATATCATTATCACGTTTATATGTTAAGAGATCAAGAAGGTTGCGTTTTTGCGTTCGAAGGATTTCTAGTTCACTATTCCACCATGGTTTATATCGGTGTTAATATGTATTCTTGGTTTGAGGGATGGTGTGGTGCGCTGACGAACATATTATTTTTCTTACAAGTGCCGCCTCTTGATTAATATTATTCGAAACAATGAATTTATAGATATTGATGAGCAGAGATCTTTGTATTTCTCCCAATTGGCTTTATGTGTTAGAAAAATTGGTTTAAACCTTTTTGTGGACGTGTCTGGGTGAAATCCGATTTCTATCATCAATGGGAAATGATCACTACCATGGAGGTCCCTAAGGACCTTCCAAGAACACAAAGGAAAGATATTGGAGGAACATGTCGTGACATCTACATGAGTGAACGATTGATCGGTGGAGAAGTGTGTAGGACTACCATCGTTTAAAACTATGAGGTTGCTGCTTAGTTAAATTTATTTTTCTCGAGACAAGTATTCAAGATATATAAAAGAAAAGGATTTTTAGATCCTCAGAAAATCTAAAGCTAGTTTTGGCAGTGATTTATATAGATAGTTAAATTCTACAATAATTAAAATCCAAAAATCGCTATTTTTTTAGTAAATTATAAAATGTGATAGCACCAAATGCGCATCAAAATATGTTGGTCAATAACAGAAAACACCGTTCAGCTATTAGTATTTAAATAGGACAAGATGTACAGATGATAATTTTCATAACTTGAAGGCAAGAGAATTCAAAAAAAATTTTTTCTCTTTATTTTGAATTTTTTAAATCAGGAGTTCCTTAAATAGCCTGAAAAACATTCATTGTAATATTATAAGTTTTCAGATCCTTAGAAATATTAACGGTCACATATGATACCGCTCAACTGAATAAGTCCTTGCTGATTAAGGGAGGAAAGGGAAGTTTTTCAGGGGCACAACCTTAAAAAAAAGCGATTTTTAGGAATTAAAAAAAAGTATTACTATACCTATTCTTCTAAAATTTTATTTTTATATGCTATTTCATAATGGGCCTCAAAAAGAGCTAGGTGCGACGTCAGACATCCACCCACCTATCTACAACAAAAAAATTAAATTTTTTTCGAATTACACGCGAACTCCGAAGGCGCTAACAAATAAAGGTCCTCCACTGCTGCATTTATTCGGACCTTCTCTTAAAAGGTTTCACTACTTTAGAACGCCCTTTATTTTTATTATTTGAGGCCATTGGCACACAGAAGTTTTCAAGTCGGTGGTAAAATTTAAGGTTAAAAGAACCCATTTCTTCAGTGGAAAGTAATCCAAGTTAAATCAATTATGTTTTGCTTGGTACACTGAAAAATTGTTTGATAAACACTTCTAAGAAAGTCTCTTCAAGTAGGAGCACTTAATTGTAACGGAAAGGCCCTCCGCCTTACAGTTGTCAATTTTTTTTTTTATTATCAGATAGAAAAATTACTCGTAAAAAATCTCGTTTCCAACTATTTGGAAATATATTTCGATGCATAGATTTGTAGCAAACTGAATGTTCAAAAAAAGGTCTTTTACGATTTTTCGAAAGATAAAAGATAAAGGTATTAACGGTTTAAGGCAAATTTGATTTTTTCTTTTGAATTTTCTAACTCAATGAAAAAAACCATTATAAATCGGAAAACTCATATAGTCTTATAAGAAATTTACTGCTCTTTACTGCACTTAAATTAAAAGCATCCTTTTGATATATAATTTAATGAAATACGAATTGCGGTTAGTTATTATTTCTCCATAATTTTTACTTTTGACAAATAACTATTTGACTTGGCTTAGTAGTATCATCTGACAGAAATTATAAGACTCATGGTTGCCCTCGAATTAGGGCGTGAAGTCTTTCCAATTATATATGTTCATTTCATATTCATAATCTTCTTCGTGTGAAAAAAGCAATTCGACTTTGTATTTGTTTTTGAAGAATTTATTTTATTATTCCTAAACAAGAAACTGTCGACATAGTAAAATACTTTAAATAAATACAATTTTTATTTTTCATTGCTTTATTGTTTACACCTTTTTATACTCTCGCAACCTGTTGCTACAGAGTATAATAGTTTTGTTCACCTAACGGTTGTTTGTATCACCTAA